TTCTATTTTCTACTCTATGGTCTGGATTTTAGTTTGTGTATTTCTTCTCTGCTGATAGTCTGTTCTTTTAGTAGTCGTTAGTAATTATATTGAGTACACTTGGACCTCTGTTGTTTGGTTTTTAACTGTAGACTGTAACTAGTGATGTCTGCTTTGAAATATGAGCAAATCAATACAGCTGGGTGATAATGGTAACTTTCTCCTAATTTGCTTCCTTCTTATTGGCTTCTGATTTTCATTAGTGATATTATTTCTGTGTAGTCATGTATTATAATATTTATATTTTTCTTTAATTTTTTCCCCAAAATGTCTAGCCCTAGTTTTATATTTAAATGAACATGTTGATCTACTATAGACCTTTCACTTCACCACTTCAACAGGTTGACTTCATTTTGATTCAGTTCTTGGTTGCTGCATTTCATTTTTAAGTAGTTTTTCAATATATGCCCATAAGTGCTGTATTTTCTTGAGTTTTTCTTTTGTCTGTGTTCTTGTCTGAAGGCAGCCTGAATTTACTTGAATTTGTAGATGAATTGATTTTTCTCCTTCTTGTAACCATACTTATGCTTACCCCTTCCCCACCCCACCCCCCCCAAAAAAAAAAACATTGCTGTCAAGTCGATTCCAACTCATAGCAACCCTATAAGACAGAGTAGAACTTTCCTGTAGGGTTTCCAAGGAGGAAACCTTGGATCGAGCTGCCAATCTTTTGGTTAACAGCCAAGCTCTTAACCATTGTGCCACCAGGGCTCACTACATGCAGTAAACTCTGATGTTTTCTCTCTTATCATATTTAAATTTTTAATGCTGATTACAATCCACAGAATTAATTCTGTGTTCTACAGCGGTTGAAATAAAAAAAAAATCCATACTAAAATATAGTTTTAAATAATATGGACATAGTGATCTAAAGTTAGCAGCAGCTCTGATTCCATATGTTCTCACAGAATACCTTCTTGCCAAATTTGTTGAGTGCGTGACCCTCAGGGCTTGATTTTTTGTGATCTTCAATTTTAGGAGACTAGATCACTCTGACAAGAGGTTAGCCTGCTTTTCAGAGAAGTCTCCTAAATTTTGGGTTTATTTTAATTAGTTTGTGTTTATCTCTGCTCTGTTAATTCTTTCCATCATCTACAAAGCACACTGATGATGCATCTATCCTCCTCCCCATTTCTTCACCATCAGGAAAGGAGACCTGCTCAAAAAAATATATCTCCTCTGGCACTGCCTCCTATCCATTCTCAAGTTGGATCCTCACATAGATTTACCCCAAAATTCCATGGTCCTACCCCCTCCTCAGATTATCTTGTTCTAAGTAAATTTTGTTTTCTCTATTCTTCTGGACTCTCTCCCTTATTTTGAGTGAAATTTCATTGCATGGTATCAGATTATGACCATTTTCTAATTCCATTGTAGAGATGGAATTTTCTTCCCAATTTCTGAATTGTTTGTCGCTTTAGGGTCTCAGGGATGGAAGTAAAGTAACCATATTTTTACTCATCTCATTTATTATAATCCCCTGTTAGAGATTATTGACTTAGCAAAGATATGATGGAAATGGTGTTGGAGGAAGATTATTCTAGCAACCTATTAAAACCCATTGCCATTGAGTTGATTGTGAGTCATAGCAATCCTATAGGATAGAGTAGAACTGCCCCATTGGGTTTCCAAGAAGCAGCTGGTGGATTCGAACTGCTGACCCGGTTAGCAGCCTGAGCTCCTTACCCACTGCACCATCAGGGTTCCAGCAACCTGTTAAGATACAGATTAAAATGGGGTGAATTGACATACCAGAAACTCTGAGAATAATCTAGGCCAGCATAGTCCACTAGAACTTTCTACGGTAATGAAATTAGTGCGTATATGTACCGTCCAATTTGGTAGCCAGTAACCACATGTGGATACTGAGTAATTGAAATGTTGCTTGTGCAATTGAGGAACTGAACTTCTAATTTAATTTAAGTTTAAGTAATTCACATTTAAATTTAAGTAGCTGTATATGACTAATGGCCCCATGTTGGACAGTGCAGATCTGGACAATATAAAGGCATCAACACTAGTCTATGGCTGAAGAAATGGAAATGAAAGACTATCCAAGAGGTGTTATGGAGAAAGAAGCAACAGTGTTTTGGCGCGGGAGGACAAAAAAAAGGAGAGGAGATTTAAATAATTCAAACACAGTGTGCTGGGGGGAACTGGGAAGCTAGTGGTTCCATCAGATAAAAAGAGATATATATCAAGAGCTATTTTGAAAAGCAGTTTGCTATCAGCTGCTAACCTAAAGGTTGGCAGTTTGAAGCCATCCAGTGGCACCAAAGGAGAAAGGCCTGGAGATCTGCTTCTGTGAAGATCACATCCAAGAAAACCCTATGGAGCAGTTCTGCTCCTTAACAAATGTGGTTGCCATGAGTTGCGATCAACTCCATGACAATGGATTTATATGTATTTTTACTTTAAAAAATAGACATTTTATGAGTTTGAGTTCCATTTGGTAAGGGAACTTCCAAGTGGAAATAATTATAAACAATTAGAATTCTCACACCAAGTTGGGAGGAAGGAGAGTTAGAGTAACCCCCCCGCCCCCGCCAAAAAAAAGAATCTATTTCCTTGATATTTCTCTCTTGAGAGAGTTTCTTCTGCCTCCATACACCCCTTTTCAGAGATTGCCTTGTCCTCCTCCACACGGAGAGACACTGATATATGGCATAATAATGACAGTTCAGAGAAATTACCATTTCACCTACTGAGGGATTAATATGAAATTAGTTACTATAGCACTCAGTGGTGCATAGAGGATCAAGGAGGAATTTGGTTTTGTTTTAGAAAGGAAAAATACAAGATAAAATAGTGCTTTGCATACATGGAGTACTTTTCATCTGAGAAGCTCTACATACTCAGCAAGCTTAATTAATGAGCAAACGTCTAAGAAAGAGAAGTGATAAAATAAGGATCTGCTAGCCAGATACCAGTGTTTTATTCCTGTGATTTTTAAAAATCAAGGTTGGTGTTTTCTTCTGCCATTAATGCACAAATGTAGCCCCATGCGGCAACCATGAGATATTCATCTTTCTACTGAATGATTTCTCTTGAAGACACCCCACTTTATGAGGGATAGCAACCACCCAGAATCCCATCCCCTAACTTTATTGATTTCCTTTGCTCTATTTGCAATGGAAATCCATCCCTATCATCATCGTGCAGCAAGCATTCTCTGATAACGGAGTCGGCACCATCCCTGGAAAGATGGTTTTGTTGCAGAACGAAGCAGGTTATCGTCTTTATCAAAAATTATTCAGAACAAACATCCATGAATCTAGGTCTAACATGCATTGAAAGGGGACGGGCAGGGCCCCTTAACGGGTGTCCTGCTGTGTAATCTTCCTTTCATCTTAATTCAAAATCCCTTGGAGATTGAAACTACCTTTTATAACAATATAAACTCTTCTAATTACTTATGTGTAGGTTATGGATTTGGCCTAGTCAAAAGAGAAAAGAAATAATGTATCTTGGCATTTATTTTCATCTTTAGTGGCTTGAGGATAGATGTTGTTTTTTTTGTCCTAAACCTTCATTTTTTTTGTTGTTGTTGCTATTGTTTCTTTCTCCCCTCCCCTGTATCTTTTCGCCTTCTCTCTACTCCAAAAAAACAGAGGAAAGAAAGAAAAAATGCCGTTCTGCCAAAAGAGAAAATGTGCTGAAAGATCATGGCTTCTAAAGATTTTTACAAAGGGTTTGATGTTTTGTAAAATAAACTTAGCTGCCATGTGTAAAAACAGCTGTTTTTGTTTGAAGAGAAGATACTGAGGGATTTTAGTTTTTCTTTTTTCGCTTCACATCCAGGTCCTCTATAGATGTCTCTGGCCAGATCTTTTCCTTCTTGCCCAAAGCCCTCTCATATTCCTGGAGCCTAGGGCTTCAGGTTTGTCCCGTCCTGTCTTAAGTGCCCTCTTTAGCCACGGGCGCCAGCACTGTCTTACTTCTCTCATCCGTACACCATGGCCCTTGTTTACTGGTGATGTAAGGTCACAGTCCAGTCCTTCCTCATTAGTGCTGAACACCTCCTAACACCACCAGGATCACCATTGTCCAGTAATATGCCGTTTTAACATGTAACTGGGAATTTAGAAGAGCTGATCCAACGCTTCCCTGATTAAATGTCAAATTCTCAACATTCATATGGATTTGGAATCCACCTAAGTGTATTTCTCTACTCCCATTCCCAATAGTCTGTGCTGTGGCACTGATCAGCAGCAGTGTTTTGTAATATCACTTAAGACTCTAGTGCTATGGGGTTCTGCCAGTAATGGTGTTTAATTCACTTGTATGTGCCAATTCATCTCTGTCAGGAGCCTATTAATTTCTTCACTATTTTACTCTGTCTGTAGCCCCAATGTAATGAGACACAATGATCACCATTTGTGTAACAAAAAACTTAGAGTCTCTTATAAATTACCTCTGATCCTACTGCTTTTAGTAACCAGAAAGGCTCTGTATTTCTTTTTCATATTTAAATCAATTTTTGCAAGCTCTTTTCTTTAGAAGAATACACAGGAACTTCAAGGACACCAAATAGTGAAATCATAGAAAAAGTATAAAATTCTGATGTGCTCTTCAACATACATGTGTCCCTGCCCCATGGAAGACTTTCCATAAAATCACATCAAAGATGTACTGTTCACACAAACACATCCCATTTGTATAGAGAGAATGTTAATGAGTATCAGCCTCTAACTCTATAATCAGCCCAGTCATCAGTGGGCAAAATGTCAAAATACCTATAGCATTGCTATAAAAATGAAGACCTGGTAACAAAGGTCAGGGATCTAAAATTAATCCATGGACTATGCTGTTGGCATTTCTGCATGATGTGATCTTGAGTAAACAGGAAAGTGACAGCTAAGAGACTGTGTAGGAAGACGTAACATCAATTCTGGAAAATATTTCAGGATATTAGCATATAAAACTCACATACAACTCTGCTACCTGTTTTACATTTTCAGGATTGGAGCAAAACATCAGGAGCTAAGGGAAAAGCAGGCAAGAGGTCTTGTTGATTACACTACCAGTGCAATTGGATCAATACATGACATGGACGATGATGAAATGGACCCTAATTATGCCAGAGTGAACCACTTCCGGGAGCCATGTACGTCAGCAAGTGTCTATAGGTCTCCATCTCCACCTCGTCCTGGACCACTTGGTTACCCTCGGGATAGCCGTCCACTGTCTCCGGAGAGGGACCACTTAGAGGGTCTTTATGCCAAGGTCAACAAGCCCTACCATCCACCAGCTTCAGCTGACAGGTAATGCAACTTAGTTAAAGATGAATGTAGCTTTCATTCAGTAAGTTCCAAATCATCTCTACAGCTGAGGCAGATAAAAATGTATCCTTCAATCTAATAAAACTGAAACGACATGGTGCCTTAGACAAGTGCTGTGCTTTGACCTCCCAGTAAGGTATCAGCCACCAAAAAATAAAGCAGTGACCAGTTATAAGGTGACATGAATGAATAGTAATAGTTGAATTCATGGTGCAACAGGGAGCAATTTTTGAAGGAATATTGTGACAGGGAACTAATGATGAGAACTTTGAAGTAATATTGTCCTTTCTCCTAAGAGCCCCACTGTGAAAGACTTTATCCAAGAAGATGGCATGACACTTAAGAGGTGAGCAGTCAGACAATAGAAAATGATGACTCCCAAGCAGATGTAATTGAGGTGGAATTATAGATAGCTGCAGAAGTGCACGGGACTCTGAAAAGTAAGAGACCTGGGGATTTTATACTCAAGGAGTATGTGATCCTTTATAGATATTCATGGATGATCAGAGGTAGCAGCAATAGGAGTTTGATGAAGTAGGAAAAGATAAGAGGTGACAAGGCCAACGATCCTTAGGTTTAGCAGCTAAGGAAAGAGATAATAGGACCATCTGTCAGTACAACCGAAGTAGGTAGGGGACGTGATGATTCCAACCCCGCCTCCTGCCAAAAGTAAAATGCCTTATCTCTTGAAAGTCTGATTTAAGACAGTTTTAGTCAATACACATTGTTAGGAGAGCCTTGGAATTACACAGACAAGGAGCGGATTGACTGACCTTGGTCCAACCTGACCGTGGCTTGAAAGCTGGAGAGAGGAGGTGGGGAGAAAGAGTGGCAATCACAAAGAGCTCTCTTTCTAGATGAAAAAAAGACTTGTTTTCCAGATTTCTTCTGGTCCTGACAACCACCCAGACCCTATTAGTAACCAGCTTTTGTGTGATAGCATGATATATTGCATATGTTTACCGTTTACGTTTCCCCAGCTGGGTGATATTATGCACTTTCAATTAGGTTGGGGAGAGGAAGGGAAATCATGGCATTTTTATGCAGACTGTAAAGTATAGCTTCACAAGACTGATTACCTTTCAGAGCCTTTCCAATAACCAAGTGGGAAGGAAGGAGCAATTTTTAATCCTTACTGTCAAGTTTCCAGGTTGATAGTATTAAAGAAAGATGGTCAAGTTTTTCTTTGGGATAAAATGAAAATATAAATTCCTATGACTATGTGATACAGCCATAATACCGAAACCGCTAATTCAAATGACTGGTAAAAAGTAGGCTTTTTTTCTCCCCAACCTTCATATAGAGTTGAATTTTATCTCATAAATATAAATATCAGGCATGAGTCTCTTCTGGCCCAAATCATAGTTAATCTTACTTTCCCTAAATCAGATAGGTCTTCATAGGAATCCTCTTTACATATGCCCATTGCTAGAATCCCCAGCACAGAGGGATTGTTTCTGTGAACCTCCCAAGCTGATATTTCCCAATACTAAGTTCATGAAATAAATACAAGCATTCTATGGAAAAAAAAGTTAGTAGTCAAATACATCTGGGGAATTCTGAGTGAAGCTACACAGAACAGGTTTCCTTCTTGCAGTCTTCTCAGGCTCCAAATATACTAGTGTACATTGTGAGTCTCCAAGAGGAGCATACGACAATCAGCACTTACTGCCCCCCAAATTTTTGTCACCAATTTCTCCTTTTTTTTTTTTTCTTTCTTTTCAGATCTTGAAGTAATTCTTTGGAACACTATTTAGGAAACTCTATACTAAGCTAATTTTCACCCATGTAGATTTAACCAGGCATGAAATTTCTTAGAATAATCTTAACGTAGGCACTCTAGAACATTTAAGGAAAAAATAAGTTATTTACTGCCCAGTCCAGATATACATATAAGCAATAGTCTTACTTTTGCCTCTGACTCCTTTGTATTAATAAATAAGCTAAAGTTGCCTTTTGTGGAGTTTTAGACTATTGTCACATTTTTGGATAGTAGATCAAAGTGTGACTCTTTATACTCAGAGTTATCTTTATTTTGCTCTTATCTTTAATTAGATTTAACGATTACACTGATATGTTCCTCATTGTTTCAGTCTTAAAGCAAGCAGTTTTTGTCTTGGCACATGGTAAGCATCCAGTAATGTTAGCTCTCATCGTCATCACTATATTATTGTTACTGTTTTTATCAATGAAATTATGAACTGGCCTGATCTTCCTGGAACCAGGTGAGTATAGATGACAAAAAAGATTGTTTTCCAGATTTATTCTAGAGTCTAAGTAGAGAGTTGCTATGGCAGTATCCCTGTGTTCATAAGCAGGAGCTCTGAGTTTTAAGCCTATTTGTTACATTTACAATTAGAAGGTACGCTGATTAATATATTCATCTGTTCATCTTTCACTCATTCAAGTATTTATTTGGCACCTATTGTGTTCTAGCTACTGTGCTAAGCTCTGGGGATGATGCAAAGATAGCTAAGACATGGCACCAGTCCATGAAGAGGGCATGTCTAGTTTGGGAGGAGGGAAACACATGTAGAAATGGATAATTGCCATATACAGCTCGTCCCCGACTTACGACATATTCGAGTTAAGATGAACTGCACATACAACCATCCAGGTTTTGTTTTTCTTTGTACGTCATATCGTTAGTAATATGTGCTACATACAATGTGCAGCACGTAGTTTGCTGATGTTATCATTCTCATGCCAGCCTCCAGAGACACATAAGGATTGGATTTATAAAGATACTGATAATAAAAGGCAATAATAATGAAAACTTAAAAAAAAAAATGAGGTGTTAGACTTAAATCAGAACTGACTTACGATGGAGTCATCCCAACGGAACCCTGTTGTAATTAAGTCGGGGAGGATCTGTAATGTAAATAGTAGAAAAGGAAGCAGCTAGGCTAGTCAGGAAAGGCCTCCAAAAGGAGGTGATTGTACTTGTTTTCGAAAGATCAGTAAGAATTGAACAGGTACAGTGGAAAAATTGTTTTCCTTACAGAATAATTAGCATGTACAAGGGCAGAGTGTCCTGAAAGAGCCTGGTAAGTTAGGGAACAAGGAGAAAGAGAGGTGCATTCCTCTCCTTATGGAGCTTCCAGGCTAGTTAGGATACAAAGAGTAAATCCACACTTAGAGTACAGTGTGAAAAGTACTACTGTAAGATAAGCACAGGGTAACTGTTGGGGAAGGAGATGTTGGGTTTGAGGCTCAGGGGGTAGCATGGGCGGAAGCCTGGAGGTGAGAGGAAGCATGGTGTGTTAGAGGAGCTAAAAAAATCTCAATAAAACAGAAACCTGAGGTGAAAGGAGCAAATGGCAGAGAGAAAACTGGAGGATCAGGGAGCTAGGCAGCAGGCAGATAACAGAGCCTTGGAGGCCTAGCTGAGGAGTTTGAACTCCATCCTGAGAGCAGTGGGGCCAAGGTTGGGATAGGAAAGGGATCTCTGAAGGGTATTAAAGTGAGACGTAATCCTGGAGCTCAGTGGGCCATTAAATGGCAAGGACAGTTTAGCCTCACCTGTAAATGATACAGTAGAGTGAAATGTTGCCTGGCCCCGAATCAGCTTCATGATCGCTGACACTGTCAAGTCCATTGTTGTGGCTACTGTGCAACGCACCTCACCAAAGTCTCCCTCACCCTCGCTGACCCTTTACTTCACCAAACACGATGTTCTTCTCCAGTGATTGATCCTTCCTGATAATGTGTCCAAAGCAAGCGAGTCGGATAATGGGTTCTGTTGTGATCCATAAGGTTTTCATTGACTAATTTTCAGAAGTAGATAGTCAGGCCTTTTTCCCTAATCTGTCTGAGTCTAGAAGCTCTGCTGAAACCTGTCCACCATGGGTGACCCTGCTGGTATTTGAAATACCGATGATATAGCTTCCAGCATCACAGCAACACATAATCCAACACAGTACATCAAACTGACAGACAAGTGGTGTAAATAGGAGGATTATTAATGACTTCACATGTGGTGATTGTTAAACACGATTTTACATTTTATAATTATTTGTATCTATACTTATACATGGAAACCCTGGTGATGTAGTGGTTAAGAGCTACAGCTGCTAACCAAAAGGTTGGCAGTTCAAATCCCCAGGCGCTCCTTGGAAACCTGTAGGGCAGTTCTACTCTGTCCTATAGGGTCACTATGAGTTGGAATCGACTCGACAGCAGTGGGTTTGGTTTGGTTTGGTTTTGTATACTTATACATACATGTCCATAATACCTGTCATAGATCTCTACCTTATGGGAACATATCAGGGCCCACAGTGGCTACCTAATAGGGGCAGCTTCTGTCTCTTATCCTTCTGTTTCTCAAGGGTTGTCCCTGAATCTGCAACCCCTTTAAGAAAACATGACTTATAAATGATTCATCTGTAAATGATGGTGGTTAAAAAGAAAAGCCCTGCCACCATGACGGAGACATATGTCTGGATTATAATAGTGCTGGTTCTTCCAGGATTTGAACATAGAATGAATTAAATCCTGTCCCCTAAAACCTGACAACTACTTAGGGTTTATAGTGTGTTAGTCTTCCACTGAAGCACCAGCATTTAGGGCCCCCACAGCGTATAAACATTAAAGCTTTATGTTTGAATGCAGATAATCCAAAGTAGGGTGATTCGGTGTATGTGGCACTTGGCCACAGTTGTGGTTTTGCCTTAGTTTGTGTGATTATTTGACTTTTCTTTACTAGAGATTGCCAAATTTGTTTGATCACATACCCCATCAGTAAAAAATACCCTGGTTGTTAAGCTTCCAATTACGTATACTTATTTCTAAATGATATATACGTACTTACCTTACTAATACATTATATGCATTATGAAACATACTAAATAGAGAAATTAATAATAAGTAGAAGTTCTAATATTTTCTTCTTCCCCCAAAATGGGATGCACACAGCCCATTTCAGAGACCATTCATCTCAACTCCAGGCTCCATGGGTATAATGTGCCCAGATCTGTGTATAC